ATCATCCAATTTTTAAAACAAGCAAAAGACTTTAACACTTAACAAATAAGATATATAGATGGCAAATAAGCACATGAAACTATGTTCAACATCACTAGCTATGAGAGAAATCCAATTAAAACAATGAGATTCAGGGGCGCCTGGGTGGCTCAGCGGTTGAGCATCTGCCTTTGGCTCCAGTCGTGATCCTGGAGTCCCACATCAGGCTCCCCGCAGTGAGCCTGGTCCTCCCTCTGCTTATGTCTCTGCCTTTCTCTGTGTGTCACTCATGAATAAATAAATAAAATCTTAAAAAAAAAAGAGAGAGAGAGAGATCCACTATACCCCTATTAAGATGCCGAAAATAAAAACTACTGACATTCCAAGTATTGCAAGGATACAGTGTGACTGGAACTGTCATACAGTGCTGGTGAGAATGCAAAATGGTATGGCTATTTCAGAAAATGGTTTGGCAGCTTCTGACCAAGTTAAACATCTAGTTACCATATAACAATGTAGCAGTACTACTACAGTAGTAGCAATACTACTTCCTGTATTTACTGCAGAGAAATGAGTAAACTGTAGTAGAGCAATAAAATAGAATGAGGTACTGATACAGACAACAGTTGAGATGAATCTCAAGGGCATTATGCTGAGTGAAAGAAGAGAGTTTCAAAAGGTTACATAGTTTCCTTTTACTTGGCACTGTCTAAAAGACAAAACTACAATATACTTCCTGTCCCGAAGGTTTTGCCTTTGTCATGAACTCATCTGGTGTTTATTTGCATTTTAGTGTAAGGAAGCTATCTACTTATATTTCCTTTGTCTTATGGTGACAACTAGTTGCCCCCGTCTTCATTTATTGTACAGTGCATTTTTCCAGCACTGAATTTTTTCCTGAGATATATTTGACATATACTATTATATAAGGTGTACAACATATTGATTTGGTATTTATGTACTGTAATATAATTGCCATTGTAATAAGAATTAACATCTTTATCATGTCACATTCTTTCTCTCTTATGGTTGGAATACTCCCACTCATTTTAATGCCACACCTGTTTTTTCAATAAATGTATGGGAATGTTTTTGAGCTCTCTATTCTACCTCTGGGTCTTTTTATCTCCACAACAATACTAGGCTGTGTCAACTGTTGTACTTATAAAATATACTTTTACTATCTGACATAGCAAGTCACCCTTTTCTCCTTCAAAATTCTTTACTTATTCTTAATTTTCTCTTCACCCTAATTCATTCCAAATGGACCCTGAGGAACACGTGGGTGGCTCAGTCAAACATCAGGCTCTTGATTTCCCTCCAGGGGCACCTGACTGGTGACTCGGGATTTTGGCTCAGGTCATGATCTCAGGGTTGCGAGATAAAGCCCTGCATCAAGCTCCATCAGCCCTGCTTAGGATTCTCTCTCTCCTTTACCCTGTCCTTCCCCCCTTTAAAAAATAAAAAACAAACAAAAAATATCTAGACCTTCAGGGCACTCTAGATCAAACTCCTAGGCATTAATTAATTTAAACTGTTGGCAGATTTCTTATATACCACCTCATATCCTTTTGGTCAACAGCACAAGTGTTATTCCCATTTAATCAATGAGGAAATAAGACTCAGGCATCGCATATGTAAGGAGCTGAATGACAGTACCATGCAGTAAGGAAGAAGCCAAGCTAGTTCCAGAAATAGAATTTCTGATCCTCAGTCTCTAGTGCTCTACTCAGAAACCAAGGTGGATCCTCAGGACCCTGTTTACTTTTAGCTATGTAAAAACCATCTGTCTCTCTGAGTGAATAAACAAAGCAAATTCTCTAAACCTGCTTCACCAATGGAATTTCCAAGATATTGGAAAAACTGCATATGAAGCCAGCAATAGAAAATAAATGGAGGTGTAAAAGAAGATTAAAAAAAAACAAACAAAAATTCCAAATATCTCCCCTTAAAATAAAAGCCTACCATCCACTTTAATTAGGCATCACAGTTCATTATAAAACCAATTAATGTTTACTGACAGGGTTTTTGAAAGTACAATTAACATCCACTTTTAAAAAACTTCTCTAGATTGCATAATGAAATACTGTCAAAATGAACTATAGTTAAAATTTGTTTTGTAACTATAAAAATACACCTATTCAGGAAAAGGAATTATAGCCATCAGGTAATTGAAAGCATAATTTAGTTAATGCTTCAGAAAAATAGTGACACAGAGTTTCTAAGAATCTGCGTGTTCATTTCCTGTATGTGAAATAACAGAATAGCTTAAAATATTTTATAACATGCATAATACTTTGCCACCTTTTTTGAAAGTCATTGTACTTTTTCCCCTTTAATGGCTGGTAAGTGGAGTGGGCAGAAGACTGTTTTCCAAACTCTCTAACAAGTTTTAAATATTTGAAAATAGACTCCAGTAAAAAAGGGACTGTTTTCCATTTATCTGCACATTTTTATAGTGCCTGTCGTAACTGGTCACAGTGCACTTACATTATTTTCTAGACATAGGCCCAAATTATAGGTGAAATTTTTCTATAGCAGGTTTTCCCCTGCCTGCATTCTCACCCACTTTGCCACCCAAGATATTGGCAGACTTCTGGCAGAGGGCTCAGAACATTCTGCTGCTCATAAAAGAGAAACTATCACCCACTCAAGATAGCAACTGCCAGCTGTTTAGTTTTACATTTTGGTCAAGAAAAATTTAAAGAAATTCAAGTCACTCTCTTTTCTTTTTTATCCACAAATCCACTATCCCATATAGCTGGACATACACAGAAATACTGTGACTAAACATACACCATAAATCTGTCTTAAAATATTAACAAACTAGTTCAGTTAAAAAATTTATTGGACTGTTCAGGCAGGTGCTGCAAATATTAATTAGTAGATAATATTAAGATACATATAGAAACAGAAAAAATAAAAAGACAGTTATAGCTTTCTTACAAAACTTTCATCTAAAGAAATAAGAAAAAATGTATGCAAATTACATACATAGATAAGCATCTTATACAATATATTACTATATTTGAAAGCACAGAAAATTTTCATCATCTTTGAAAATGATGGAATAAACACGTTTGCTTTAAGAAGCAGCTTTATGAGGAAGATAAATTTTTAAAGTTGGAAGGTACAGGATTTTTTTTTTTTAACCTTAGAATTGTAGCTAAATATAAGTTTCATTTACGTATAGGTTCAAAAAGGTATGACAGGGATCCCTGGGTGGTGCAGAGGTTTGGCGCCTGCCTTTGGCCCAGGGCGCGATCCTGGAGACCCGGGATCGAATCCCACGTCGGGCTCCCGGTGCATGGAGCCTGCTTCTCCCTCTGCCTATGTCTCTGCCTCTCTCTCTGTGTGACTATCATAAATAAATAAAAATTTAAAAAAAAAAAAAAGGTATGACAAGTCAAGGAACTAACCTAATCTAAACCAGTTATTTATAACCTAAGGGCCAAGGACTCATTGGAAGAGTTACATGGATGTACAAACACCAAGTATGATCCTCAGTCTAAAATATTTTTTTCTCACGCATATGACTTTTTCTCTATTTTTCAAATATAGACAGATACTAGCATACAATAAAATCATTTAAAAGCATAGTTTTTTCCATTACGCATAATCTCAATCAACAAATACTAAAAGTACAATTACTTTTGTGCTGGGGGTACAGAGTTTTTCATATTCAAAACAGGTCAGGAGCCTTTAGCTAACATACAAGTTTCCTTCTGGCTCTAAAATCCTGTGATTTTAAGAGCACTAAGGACTCCTTTTATGAATCTTTAGAACTATCACATTATAAATATGTAGACATATTTACAAATATGTATATATATATATATACACATACACACACAAATAATGCCCGCTATGCCCCCCAGACACTGAATTAGCTTTTGTTACAAAGATGGACAAGCCAGGATTCCAGACTTAATCTCAAATGGACACAGAGACAGATACATGAACAAATAATACAACCTAATAAATATTGCAGAAGAACGATTCCAAGTGTTCTGGGAGCACAATGGTTATTATGACTGTCACCTGGGGGAGTCTGAGAAGACAAGAATCTGTGAATTGGGTCTTGATAGGTGGGGAGTGGGCAGGAGAGAGGGAGAGAGAGAGAGAGAAAGCATTCTAGACAGATGATGGTACAGCACACACAGAGACACAGAGTTGTGAAAGTGCATGACCTGTTTGGGCAGCCAGGTCTGGTATGGCTGGATATTAAGGTATCTGGAGGAAAAGCAAGAGGAGACTAAAATATAAAACAGGGTGGAACAGTGAGAGGTCCTGAATCATCATTCAGGCTTAAAAATTAAGACTTCATTCCATTAGGAATAGGGTTACTGGGAAAGTGGAAGGAAAGGAGTGACATAAACAAATTTTAGGATGATAATTCTATGGAAAGATGATGGTGGAGAAACTAATGTGGGGGGGAGGCGGGGGGAAGGTGCTGGGCAACTGCAAAAATTCAGGTAAAAGGAGGAGTAATCGAGCAGTGCGAGTGCAAATGAAGAATCAAGGAGGAAGGTTTCCAGGTGGGACAGGAGGACGAACACTGGTACCATTATCGGAGATGGGACACCGAAGAAAGGCAGGAAGAAAACCAGGAGTATTCCTTCGAGGGCTGTTTCAAGAAAGACAGTAATAGTTCCATCCATGTAATATGCTGCAAAGCTGTAAACTGAAACCCGAAAGGTCCCTCTCCCCTCCTCTCATGGGTAAGCAAGCTCCCAGGTGGGCTCAGGCAGGAAGAAAAGGGAAACGGAGGATGCGCCCAGGACAAGGTTAGGGACCAAGGCTGCAGGAAACTTTCCGCATCTCAGACCCGGAAAGAGGAGCTCACAGCTGGGGCCGGGAAAGGGGAGCACCGCTCCACGGAGCAGGTAACCGGCGCAGGGAAAGGGGTGAGGCCAGGCGAGGGGCCAGCAGCGCGAGGGGGGCAGAGCCCCAGAGCGACCCAGGGAAGGAAACTTCCGATTCCCTACTCCCGCTCTGGTCCCTCGGTGTATTCCACTTACTCTGGTCTCAATCCCTCGCAGCCGCCAGCTGTAGCGTTAGGACTCAAAGCCTCTGCCAACAGGGACCTACGCACCCAAGGGAAGAGAAGACTCCTCTCGCCTGTTCAGCTTCTTCAGCGAGCAGACACAGAAGCCAGCAGGCACAGTCAGCGCACGGGGAACTGCAAGGGACCGCGGAGCTCAGCCCCATCCCTGGCCCGCGGCGAACCTGCGCGGAGAGCCTCCGACCGGAGCGCGCAGAGCGCTCCAACCTCGCGAGACTTCCGGCCTCCCGTTACCGCGGGCGTGCAGAGCCGAGAGATGTTACTTGCGGCTTCTCGCAGACTTGCGCGAGAGGTGGGGGCGGGTCCTTTCTAGGCCCCGCCCCATCGATCTACTTAGGCTTTAGCTTGGTTTCTCGCAAAGTGTCGCGAGTTTTGCCAAGGGAAGCCGACCTGGGTGGAGAGACCAAGAAGGGGAGGCCGGGTGGGAGGGCCTTTGCGCTTAAGCGGCCGTGGCTGGTTTAGCCGGTGCTGTGGTTGGTACTTCGCTGGTGGAGAGGCTCTGAGGTCGCCTGGATCAATCTTCCCAATGGGTTACTGGGAAAATTAGCGGGTAGAAAATCTTGAGGGTCGGAGGCATTTTTTTTTTTTTGGCTCCGCCCTCTTCCTGTTCTGCGAGCTGGGCGTCTGGCCCACCACGGGGGAAGGGCCGCTTGGCGGGGCTGAGGAGGAGGGCTCTGCGCACGCGCGAGTCCGAGTGTGTGAGTGTGTTCACGCGCACGCGCGCGCGCTCCTGCATTTAGGAAGCCTGGGAAGGACCGGTGTGCTTGGAGATGAGCGGGGAAAGCATAGTCCCCCGTCTTTGGTACCAGGCACTCCTGACTGTGCGCTGACCCTCCCCACCCAGCCAGCAGCCTTTTGCAGAGAGGCTGTGGTCCATAGCCTCTGTTCGTTTTCACTGCAGGACCAGGCACGAAAGTAAGCGAACCTCGATCCCGAGGTCTTCCCTATCCACTCACCTTGTACTTTCCACCCCCCCCCCCACCCTCCAGTAGAGTGTGTTTAGGTTTCTCAAAGAAGAGTTTGCATGAAGGGGAAATGCGTTTGAAAGCAGAAGAAAAATAGCTAGGTCGTAAAAAGTCCGTTCGTTTTGATGAACACTTCTGCTCTGCTTACCATGTGCTTTTTGAATGTGAATTGTCTATTCGGTGTAAGGTTTTATTAGCGAAGCGAGGGAGTTTTTGTAAGTTCAAAAGTTTCTCCTCCCCAGCAATGCGACGGGTAGCCACTAAGTTTTTCTGGTCTTCATGGTAAATTACCGTGGTGTTAACGAAAGCTAAGGGGGAGAGTTTGCATTTGGGGGTCCTTATCCTAAATGCGAAGACCCGAGATGCCGTTGTTTTAGGAGAGGTTTATTACAATTCGGGCTTTCCTTTTGCTGTCACTCCTCTTTCCTGTTCCTTCTGGCCCACCTCAACCTTTTTTCAGAAGTCTCGAGACTTTCGAAGGAAGTCCAAACTGTTGACTTGTGCTTGGGGGTTTATATGTGATTGATGTCAGGTAGCAGGAAACATCAGAAGTGTATTTCAGAGTATTTGTCGTTTATTATGTCTGGTATTACGGAAGGGAATCAAGTACAATTATTTGTGAACAGTTTTTTTTTTCCTTCCAATTTTAAGTTCATTCAAAAAGCAAAGCATATATATGGACTGTAGTTTTGCCTGTGACTGATAGAGTGACAGCTTAATATGGTGTGGCTTATCCCTCTAATTGATAGTTACTTTCTGGTCATGAGCTCATTAAATCTTGTCCTTTGTTGGATAAATTTCCTTGAATACTGATTATTCATGTTCCCTACCAAACCTTTTTTGAGGGAAAGACATTAATTAGGAACAATTTAAGGATATTAAGTGTCCTGTATAAGACGTTCGGCTAATATGTTTTATCCCTTACAGGTTAAAACAAAATGAAGATTTTTTCTGAATCTCATAAAACAGTGTTTGTTGTAGATCACTGCCCTTATATGGCAGAATCATGCAGACAGCATGTTGAGTTTGATATGCTGGTGAAGAATAGGACCCAAGGAATCATCCCTTTGGCCCCCATATCTAAATCATTGTGGACTTGCTCAGTAGAATCTTCCATGGAATATTGTAGAATAATGTATGATATATTTCCTTTCAAAAAGCTGGTGAGTGTGAAATACAAGCAAAAATCATGATTTGGGGGGATGGGCTTGTTGCATTTTTTATGTAAGAATGTACTATAGATTGACTTAAAACTGTTTGCTACTTTAAAAAATGTATGTATGTAGAACTCTTCCTTGGAATTATTATGCTGTGTGCATCTAACTGGGGCTAACAGCAATGATAACAGCTAACAGTTTTGGAGCATTTACACGTACCAGTCATTTCCAAAGTGCTTCATATTCACTAACTTTTTTAAGTCTCAGAACAGTCCTATAAGGTAGCCACTATAATTACTGGGAAATTTTTCAAAGTATATAATAATCAGAATAAAATAGGCACTGACCGTTGAGAACTGTTGCGGGGCTAAGCAAAAGGGATGTTGGGTGTAAGCAGTGTCACATTGTGTTGGTATGTACCATCTGAATATCAGCTTTGTTTGTTATTGCCATGTTGGAGATATATAAATCGAGGTAAAGAGCAAAAACTTTTCCTAGTCACACAGCCCTTTAGAGGCAGAACCAGAATTTGAACCTAAGCAGGCTGGCTGCTTACAGTTTCAGCAAATGCACACAAAACTGCTGTAGGATTTGGCCATATTGGAAAGAAATTGCTCTTAAGAATGCTAACTGGGAATTGTTTTTTTCCACAAGAAGAGAGATTGAAGATTGATAGATTCCAAATATGAAAATTATCTTTAGGTTTCATCATCTCAGCTGTTTTATTTTGGGAGTCATTTGGTTAGCCACAAGTGGGTGATTTGCTTTGTCTCATTTGGAGCAGCCTAGATGGGACCTCGCCAGTTCTTAGACTAGGACAGGCAGGGCAGTAACAGTAAGGCTGAGCGTAGAGAATCTAATACCTTCAGATATGTTCCAAATTAAAACGTAAGGTGTTTTTAGTCCCTCTGCAAATTATGCATTATGTAGGGTAAAAGAACATGATAGGGAGGATAAGTAGTAATTTAGGGTGCAGACTTTGATTCAAATTCTGGTATCATTAGCTAGTGTGTCACAGTGTGACCTTGATCATATTGCTTAATTTCTCCAAGCCTCAGTTTCCTCCCATGTAAGCCTAATACCTCTTACTATGATGTAAGATTTCAATGAGATAGTATAACTAAAGCGGCTAGTAGAATATATCCCTGTCAGATAAGCCTTACAAGAGAAGGCTACTTATCACATTTATTAGGGATGTAAAACTCACTTCATGGATGGTAGAAAAAAAGAGCATGGATAAAATCATATAATCTGGGGGAAAGAAATAATCTCACGCTCCTTCTGAAGGGAGCAATCATCATTTTATATATTTTCTAATATGTCCTTACTAGCATTATCTTCTTTCTTGATAGTATTTTTTGTTTGCATTTTACTTTATTATAAAGTCCAAATGCACTATTTTGACTTTCAGTGCCTTTTGGGTTATGGCTACTACCTATTTCTCTGAGCTTATATCCTACTCCTTTGCCAGCTCTGACCCTTACACCCTTTTGAGTGTACACATAGGATTTAGAGGCCTTTGCATTTGCTGTTTGCTGTACCAGGAATTCTCTATCCCCAGCTCTATTTATGTCTGGTTCCTTTTGGTCATTTGATTTTGGGTCAATTGCCACTTCCACAGAGAGCCCTTCTCTGACCACCCAACCTAAAGCAGCTAACCAATTTCACTGAAATTATCTTGTGCATTTATTTGTTTGTATTCCTCCCCCCAGCCCCCGACTTACCACCCCGCCCCCAGCCCCTGACTTTCCCCATATTGTGAGCAATACAACTTTTATTCATCGCTGTATTCCCAAATCCCCAGTGCCAAGGATAGTACCTGGCATATACTAGGTATTCTATAACTATAAAGCGAATGAATGAATCAGCAAGCCAGTGCTAGAGACTGCATACTATTTTAAATATGATGTGATTGAGTGGAATTGGATGTGAATACTAATTATGTCTTTGAAATCTATCAGGTGAATTTCATTGTGAGTGACTCTGGAGCACATGTTTTAAATTCTTGGACTCAAGAAGACCAAAATTTGCAGGAGGTATGGTTAGGTTTTGAGCTGTGGCCATTTTTGAAAATTATCTGAACGTGGTAATACTTTTTGGAAAGTGATTTAAAAGATTTTTTATCAATATAGTATCTGCACATGTTTTAAAAAACTAATACTGAATGAAAAACAGCTATCTTCCTTCCAGTCTTTTCCCACTTCTTAGAAGCAAACTTTCAAATCTAGCTCATCTAGTATTTACTTCCATATTTCTAAATGATAGTTTACTGCTATTAGTAGTAACTAGTAGTAAACTAATAGTTTTACTACTATTGATAGGTTCTCAATTAAAACTTTATTTTTTTACTGTTGTTAATGAAGATTTAACTTTTATCTTTCCTGTCACCCATGCCCTTATGCCCACCCTCTTCCTTTCCCCCATTTTCTCAGTGTTATTAGAATTTTTATTTCAAATTGCATATTTGCATTATGATACCTATATAATGTGTTATTCACTGTTAAACTAGTATATGTGGTTATTTTCCTTTTTTTAAAGGTTTTATTGAGATATTGACATACAGCACGATATAAGTTTAAGGTGTAAAACACAATGATTTGACTTACATATTCTTTCCTTTCTTGTGTAACTTTTTGTTTATTCTTTCAATTTATCATTTCTTTTTTTGTAATTTGCTTAATTTTATATGTATCTGTTGCTGCTTTTCCTTATTCTCTACAAAACTTGTCAATATTTTTATCATAAATGTATGAGAAATTTAGCAGACTGTTTCTTTTTTTTTCTTGAAAAACTTCTTAGAGCACAGTCTTTTGCTTGAACTGGCTGCTTTCTAGGCCTAGTGCTTTTTAAACATTATTTGTTTAAGAATACTGAGATTTGTGATAGATTATGTTCTTTGCTGTTCAGTTGGATGGAAGACTTCAGTTTTAAGATTTTAAGTCTTAAGATTTTTATTTATTTATTCATGAGAGAGAGAGGCAGACGGAGAAGCAGGCTCTATGCAAGGAGCCTGACATGGGACTCAGTCCCAGGTCTCCAGGATCAGGCCCTGGGCTGAAGGCGGCACTAAACCGCTGAGCCACCCAGGCTGCCACCCCTGATACTATAACACTGATTAGTGT